AAAAGCAGCGTGGCCAGCAGGACGAGGGAGGCAATTCTGCCCCTCTGCTCCATGCTGGTGAGACCCCACCTGCAGTGCTGTGTCCAGCTCTGGAGTCCTCAGCCCAAGAAAGATGTGGACCTGTTGGAGCAAGCCCAGAGGAGGGCCACAAAAAATGATGAGGGGGCTGAAGCACCTCTCCTACGAGGACAGGCTGACTGTGTTGGCGTTGTTCAGCCAGGGAAAGCGAAGGCGGAGACCTCATTGTGGCCTTTCAGTACTTACAGAGGGCCTATAAAATGGGGGCAATCTTTTTAGCAGGGCTTGTTGTGATAGTACAAGGAGTAACGTTTTTAAACTTGAAGAGGCTATGATTCTATGGAAATCAAATGGTGACTAAGCAATAACTAAATGATAATTAGAATCATAGAATCGTTTAGGTTGGAAAAGACCCTTAAGATCATTGAGTCCAACCGTCAACCTAACACTGCCAGGTCCACCACTAAACCGTGTCCCTAAATGCCACATCTACACGTCTTTCAAAAGCCTCCAGGGACAGTGACTCAACCCCTTGGCTGGACAGCCTGTTCCAATGCTCAACAGCCCTGGGCCCATCAATCCAGCCTACCCAGGTCCCTCGGCAGAGCACTTCTACCCTCAAACAGATCAGCACCCACCCACTGCATCCCAAGCTGCCGCACAGCCACTTGCACTTTCCTACCCCACCAAGGAAAGGCTCACACTGACTTGGAAAGGCCATTTAGTGCCATGGAAAAAGGCCGCTTCTGCCGTGACTGCCCAGCTTGCGGCCCCACTGCTCTGTGTTGTGGAGGCAGCACATCAGCCAAGTGCTAAGGGGTTCAGGAGAAAGATGTCGGGCCACCTGCGCCACTTAGGTGCCGTCCTGAGGTCCTGTGCTGTGCCCTGGCCACCCACTGCATCCAGCCGAGCGGATGGGGATGCGTGAGCCCAGGCCAGACTCAAAGGTGGCTGCTGTGCTCTGTGCCGGGGAGCCCAGAACCGGAGGCAGCGCTGATGTCATTGTGGCCATTGTGACACGCAAGCCAAGCCCCTGTAAAGGAGCACTGGGCTCAGGCCGTGGGTCAGTGCGACGTGGGGAGGTGAGGAATGGGCAGGTGAGGGACGGGGCTTGTGTGGGGCTGCCATGGGAGGAGGGTGTCCCACACCCTGGGGCTCTGGGCCTGTGCTGCAAGTTAGCCCGCATCCTGCGTCTCCCTCGCTCACGTTTGCTTCTCCCTCTGAGGAGGAACAAGGGGAGAAGGGATGGAAAGAGTTAACAGGATTCAGGCAGCTCCTGCCCTGAGCCTTGAACAAGATAAAGGAAGATAACAGAGAAGTAAACAGGTGCAGACTGTGAGACAGGAACAGAACGCAAGCCTGCAGGATAGCAGCCAATGGGGTTAGCGGTAGTGGTGCATGAATGATGCTTGTACACCAATCACAGCTTACTTAGTGGCGCGTGTACTAGTAGAGAAAAGTATATAATGATGCTCTAACAAATAATAAAGGTCTTCGGTTTATCCCCAGTTGGAGTCCATGCCCTTAATCCACCACATCCCTCAGAGTCAGCAGAGGAGCATTTGGAGGAGACACCTCAGCACTGCTGGGTCAGGGACTTTCGAAACACTCGCCGTTGCCGTGCGCCATGTCTGCGAGGAAGCAGAAGGCCCCTGACTCGGTGGAGCAGGGTGAGAGAAAAGTATCCCTCACACAGCCTGGCACAGGGGTTGTCAGCCGGTCAGTGTAGGGTTGAGAGCAGTGGCAAGGGGAGGCAGGAGCTCCCCAGCCACCCTGAGGGTCCCTCCTTTCCTCAGCCAGCGGGGCCCAGGCTGGGCACTGGGCACTGGGCGCCCGCTGGGCCACCCGTGCCAGCAATGCCCCCTTCCTCGCCAAGGCCTCCAGCCCTGCCCATCAGCCACCAAGGCACGGACAGAGCAGGCCCTTGGGGGCAATCCCTCAGGCACGCTTCCCCCAGGCCCACAGAGGTGCTCATTCCCACTGACATCTGCTCTCTCCCCTCCAGCGTGCGTGCTGTGTCGCCGGGCAGAGGCTGACCCAGTGCTCTGTGGGCACATAAAGGAGAAGGAAGGGATCTCTGCCCACGTGTTTTGCTTGGTGAGTTCCTCTGGGGCTCCCTCCCGATATCCGACAGGCAGTCCCTGCCACGCTCTCCTCATCAGCTCCTCGTCTTTTCTGCAGCTTTTTGCCAATGAGCTTTCTCAGAAACGGGTCAGGGAAGAACACACGGGATTTCTCACTGAGGATTTCTAGTTGAGTCTTGCTCCCAGCAGCTCCTCCCAGGCTCCAGGTCTGCAGGGTGTGACCCGGTAGCGCCCACATCCTGCACCCTGCCCAGAGCCGTGGGGCTGGCTGTGGAGGCCCTGAGGCTGCTGCTGATGGGGGCTGCCGTGCTCTTTCCAGGATTGCTTTGTCTGTGGCAATAGCGGGGCCACCATCACTTGCTGGGAGACAGGCTGCGACTGCAGCTTCCATCTCCCCTGTGCCATGGAGGGTGGATGCATCACCCAGTACTTTGGGCTCTACAGGTAAGGGTAGCCGGCCCTTGTGGGGGAGGCTCCTCATCTTCAGTCCCCTTCCTGCCAGCATCAGCCAAACGAGAAAGGAGCCCACAGTGACACTTCCCAGCGGTCGCTGACAGGCAGAGCCAGAGCTGGGCAAGGCCTGGGGCTCCTTCACACCTCCTCTCCCCTCCTGGCCACCACCTAGGGAAGCACCTAGCGCTTCTCACCTTACCCATCCCCATCCCTTTCCTCCTCCCCCAGGTCCTTCTGCTTGCTGCATTGCCCAGAGCAGGCAGTGGAGGCAGCTCCAGAGGAGAACACCAGCTGCCTCATCTGTCTGGACCTTGTGGGGGACACAAAGTCCTACAGCACCATGGTGTGCTCAGCGTGCAAACACGCCTGGTTCCACAGGGGCTGCATCCAGAATCACGCTATCCACGCTGGCTTCTGCTTCTTCTGCCCACATTGTCAAAATGAGTATGAATTTCGCAAGAAAATATTCACCATGGGGATACAAATTCCCAAGAGGTTAGGTTTTTTTCTTCCCAGCTCACAAGAACGGAGGGTGCAAGTGCTATTCCATGCCAGTACCTGATGTCCTGGCCTGCCACCGTCCCATGAGGCTGGGCTTCAGCCTCATGGAGGAGCTGGAAACAGGGTAGGCGGGAAGAGCATGGATGCGCCCTGCATCCTCTTTATGCCAGGGCAGCAGGGGCTGATCAGTTTTCCTTTCTCCACCAGACTGCCATCATGGGAGAACGACAGTGTCATTGAACCATTATATGAGAGGTACAGCCACTGTGACACCAGTGAGTGCCTTTGTCCCAGAGGCAGGCAGCAGGCACAGAGAGAGGGGTAAGTTGCCAAACCTGCACCCTGGGGCTTTGCACGGGATCTCTGTCTCACCAAGGGCTTGAAGCAGAAGGACTAAAGACAAGAGCTCTGCCAGACAAGCCCGAGCTGCGGTCACTTTGTCCTCACAGCCATGAACCCCTTTGCTTCCCCAGGCCCTAGCAACTGCTCTGGTGCTGCTCCTGCGCAGCCCAGGGCACCCACAGACGCTGCTCCAATGTGGGGAACAGCATGGCCAGCTGGGAGTGCGACAGCTGTGCTGGCGTGGGCACCGGCAAGAGGCAAAGCACCCGGGGGTGCCCCTGGG